AATCAGGAAGTGTGTGGTTAGCGTTCCAGTTGTTGTTATTGTCCCATAATCAGGAAGTGTGTGGCTAGCATTCTAGTTGTTGTTATTAGCCAATAATCAGGAAACGTGTGGTTAGCATGCTAGTTTTTGTTATTGTCCCATAATAGGAAGTGTGTGTTAGCATGCTATTTGTGTCCTTGTCCTATAATCAGGAAGTGTGTGGTTAGCATGCTAGTTGTGTTACTGTCCCATAATCAGGAAGTGTGTGTTAGCATTCTAGTTGTTATTTTCCAACAATCGGGAAGTGTGTGTTGGCATGCTAGTTGTTGTTATAGTCCAATAATCAGGAAGTGTGTGGTTAGCGTTCTAGTTGTTGTTATTGTCCCATAATCAGGAAGTGTGTGGTTAGCATTCTAGTTGTTGTTATTAGCCAATAATCAGGAAACGTGTGGTTAGCATGCTAGTTTTTGTTATTGTCCCATAATAGGAAGTGTGTGTTAGCATGCTATTTGTGTCCTTGTCCTATAATCAGGAAGTGTGTGTTAGCATTCTAGTTGTTATTTTCCAACAATCGGGAAGTGTGTGTTGGCATGCTAGTTGTTGTTATTGGCCAATAATTAGGAAGTGTTTGGTTAGCATGTTAGTTGTTGTTATAGTCCAATAATCAGGAAGTGTGTGTTAGCATGCTAGTTGTTGTTATAGTCCAATAATCAGGAAGTGTGTGTTAGCATGCAAGTTGTTGCTTTTTTTCTCATTTTAAGACGGTAAAAATCAGGTACAGCACTTTTAAGTAAGTTACACTAGTTTTTTCACCTTTTTTAAAGTTTAGTCATCGCAAAACTGTAATCTTGTCTCTGAAAGTTGTAAAAATCTATTATAAATTCATTTGAATTAATAATTAAGACGTTTTAAATGCATAAAATGAAACTTAAAATAAACTTGCTCTTTTTTTTTTCACATTTTAAAACAGTAAATATCAGGTACAGTGCTTTTAAGTAAGTTACTGCTATTTTCTTTTTTTTAAGTTTAGTTAAAGTTTAGTCATAGCAAAACATGAAAGTTGTGAAAATCTCTTATAAACTCATTTGGATGAATAATTAAGATGTTTTGGATGCATAAAATTAACTTAAAATGAAACTTTAAATGAACTAGCTCTGTTTTTTCACATTTTAACACAATCAGGTACAGGGCTTTTAAGTAAGTTACTGCTAGTTTTTTACTCCCTTTTTTTAAGTTTAGTCACGGAAAATTGTAATCATGGTCTCTGAACGTTGTGAAAATTTTATAAACTCATTTGAATGAATAATTAAGATGATTGGATGCATAAAATGAACTTAAAATGAAACTTAAACTACCTTTGTTTTTCATATTTTTAAGACAGTAAAAAACAGGTACAGCAATTTTAAGTAAGTTACTGCATTTTTTCCCCCACCTTTTTTTAAGTTTAGTCATTGCAAAACTATAATCATTGTCTCTGAAAGATGTGAAATCTCTTATAAACTCATTTGGATGAATAATTAAGACATTTTGGATGCATAAAAAGAAAATTAAAATGAACAAGCTCTGTTTTTTCCACATTTTTAAGATGGTAAAAATCAGGTACAGCAATTTTAAGTAAGTTATTGCTATTTTATACCCCCTTTTTTTTATGTTTTGTCATCGCAAAACTATAATCTGGTCTGTTATAAACTCATTTGAATGAATAATTAAAACATTTTGAATGCATGAAATGAACTTAAAACGAAACTTAAACTAAACTCGCTCTGTTTTTCCACATTTTACGAACTCAGGTACAGCTTCTTTAAACATTGCACAACCGTGGGGCCCTGTACGGCGCTTTTACTTTTACCGAACCTCTTTCTTGTATAATCATGTTGAAACTGACTCAATCTCGTGCAGGCCGCCGCGCTCTGGCCCAGGCTTCGCTCATTAAAACTGTTTACACAAAGCTACTTAATTTCAGGAACATATCACTTTCCAAAACCATCAAAACACACGCGCTTCCCACTGCTCTTTCCCTCTGCTCTTCGCCTGTTTTGGTTCGAATCTACGTCAGAAATCGCCTTTTACGTCACGTTCGGATGACTCGAATTCCTCCGCCATCCCGTAAGAATCAGCCTCCCCGCGAGCCCGTTAGAGCAGAGTTTCCCCGTTTGGTGTGAAATCCATAAGTCTTCAGAGAGGAGCCCCAAAGCGTTCGAGTGATTGTCGAAGCTTCAGAGTCGCGAGGAAGTTCAGGGGTTGGCGAAAAAGTGCTGAATCCGATGGTGTTTTTCACGAGAGATAATCGAAAAGAAAAAAGAGAAGAGAACAACAAAAGACAGAAAGAAAAGAAGACATGAACTGCTGATAATGACATTGAATTTGACGTCTTTAACCCGTCTAGTCTGACTTGGAAACACCGTATGTTTTGGACTATAAGGTGCATTTTCTCGTCTATTTTCATACATAAGTCGCACCGGATTATAAGGAGCATTAAGCGAAACAAACGGACGACACTTGAGACTGAAACCTTAGCCCAGGCGTCCACGATCCATCGGCAGATCGTGGTGTAATTCGTCCGGTGTTTCCTCTCTGTCTTGGTGAATGTGAATTATGAATGTGAATGTGCGTGGATCTTTTAAGTTTGTTGGTTTTTTTTTATTTCCTACGAGGACGAGTCAAATGTACATCGAGTATTAATGTGTTTAATTCAGCTTTGCCACATTTGTTTACGTTTTACAGAAACAAAACTTAAAACCACATGGCTCATTTGCATAAACTAAGCCCTGAAAAAAACAGCTCGCTCCTTGTGCCCTGATGCGGTTCAGCTTCTGTCGGACTAAATTGGGCTTTACTCCGGGAGGTTCCTAATCCGTGTGTCATTCGTTCATTCGTTTTTCAATATAAAACCAAAAATAAGAAAACGAAAAAACAACAGTTTTCTTCGCTATTTGTCTCCAAAACCAAAATGAAAAAACAGATAACGATTCGTTTTTTCAGTTTTCGATTTTGGTTTAAATGAAGAATGGAAAAAACGGATAACGGCCGTTTCCCGTTTATGTGACTTCCGTGACTGCGATGCCGAACTTTTGCACCGCTCTGGTCCCGGTCTGGTCCCAGTCTCAGTAGCGCTCTGGTCCCGGTCTGGTCCCGGACCTGGTCCATTTGAACCAAAAGCTCTTAGTTCGTTTCGTTTTCGTTGGTGTGAAAGCGTCAGTTGGATGCTGCACCACCTCGGAACCAGCCGCGGTTCTTGAGCGCGGAGGACTGGAGCAGCCCATCCGGACCTGTAGTCCACAGAACATTCTCACTTTCCCCACACGGAACCAGCGCGGAGACGATGACACGGAACCGCTTGGACCGCTGGTCCCGGTCTCAGTTCCGCTCTGGTCCCGGTCTGATCCTGGTCTCAGTCCCGCTCTGGTCCCGGTCTGGTCTCGGACCTGGATCAGTCCTGGTTCAGTTTGTACGCGGTGCAAAAGTTCGGCATCGCAGTCACGGAAGTCACGTAAACGGGAAATGGCCGTTATCCGATTTTTCCATTCTTCATTTAAACACAAAATCGAAAACTGAAAAAACAAATCATTATCCGTTTTTTCATTTTGGTTTTGGAGACAAATAACAAAGAAAACTGTTGTTTTTTCGTTTTCTTATTTTTGGTTTTATATTGAAAAACGAATGAACGAATGATACACGGATTGTTCCTGACTACAGTCGCCGTAATGCTCCAGAATCCATCAAGTGGTGCGGCTTCATAGTTTACCAAAGTCGTACTAAAACATTTTGACAGATTTTTGAGCGCCGTGTACCACATAAAATCAGTTTAAGGTCAGTAAACACAACCAGAATTAATCCGTAAGGCGCACTGTCGATTTTTGAGAAAATTTAAGGATTTTAAGTGCGCCTTCTAATCCGAAAAATACGGTATGTTTTATATAACTGCGCATAACCAACCATAAAAGATAGAAACTTACTCCCATTTCGGTAACACTTTATAATAACTACACCTTATTTAGTCTTAATAAAGCATGAACAAAGGCTTAATTAATAATGAACAAAGACTTAATTAATAATGATTCACACTTAGTAACTATTTAATTACTACCTGAATTAGCACTTGCACTTAATTTGCCTGTGCTGTACATAGTTACTCATAATTATTTCATACTTAATTACTCATGAACTAACCATTTGAGCATTTATTAATCATTAGTAAACTATGAGAGAATGATTTACTAATAATACAATACAATGATAATTCAGGCAGCTGTTATCTGTTAGTTAAGTCTTTTTGAGAGCTTTTCTAAAGTGAAGACGAATTTTGCTTTATTAAGCATTTACTAAGCGTGAATCATTATTAATTAAATCTTTGTTCATTATTAATTAAGTCTTTGTTCATGCTTTAGTAAGAGGGAGACGTGCGGCTTTCCGAGCATATTTCCGGCATTATCCTACGTCACACACTCGCTGTGTGATGACATCAGGAAAACGAGTGTCCAATAAGAACTTTGTTTTCCGCCAAACTCATGCGCTCCGTCCATTTTGATTGGCCCAGACTTTGCCAAAGAGTGTAGTGAGTCAAGATGATCGACTGCTCTGAGCGTCTGTGTTCAAACAAATGAAAAAGTCGCTCTAAGTGCAGATATTTCTCAAATAAATGGCAAATTACGCATCTTGGTCTGTGTGATTGCGCGTTCCTTGTGATTTTTATTGATAATCTTTATGTCCAAATCCAATATATGAATATTTTAGCCCACAGATGGTTCAGAAATTGCGGAAATTCCCGTGTCACCCGTGTCACAAATGACCTTGGATCGTCAGCAACGTTTTTTTGCAGCATCAGGCACAGGGGCTTGACCCATGTACCAAATTTGGTGACAATCGGTCTATAAATGACGGAATTGGCACCAGGAAAGTCATGGGGCCATTATGGATATTTTTATTTTACTTATTTATTATTTATATTTATTTCTTTATAAATGTGCATATTATCTCCATCTCCTAACCTGATTTTATTTTATTTGTTGTGTCTCTTTCAGGCAGGTCTGATCCGCACCGACAGCGGAGAATTCTTCATCGAGCCTCTGGAGAAAGGACAGCAGGGCGTCGAGGAGAAAGGAAGAGTCCACGTGGTCTACAGGAGGTCTGCCATCAAGAGAGAGGGAGGAGAAAGAGGAGAGGAGAGACACAACGAAGGTGAGAACGAGAGAGAGAGAGAGGAGAGAGGGAGAGGAGAGAGAAAGAGGAGAGGAGAGACACAACGAAGGTGAGAAAGAGAGAGAGAGAGAGAGAGGGAGGAGAGAGAGGAGAGGAGAGACACAACGAAGGTGAGAACGAGAGAGAGAGAGGGAGGAGAAAGAGGAGAGGAGAGACACAACGAAGGTGAGAACGAGAGAGAGAGAGAGAGGAGAGAGGGAGGAGAGAGAGGAGAGGAGAGACACAACGAAGGTGAGAACGAGAGAGAGAGAGGGAGGAGAAAGAGGAGAGGAGAGACACAACGAAGATGAGAAAGAGAGAGAGGAGGAGAGACACAACGAAAAGAAAAGAACGAGAGAGAGAGAGGAGAGAGGAGAGGGAGGAGAGAGGGAGGAGAGAGAGGAGAGAGGGAGAGAGAGAGGGAGGAGAAAGAGAGGAGAGATACAACGAAGGTGAGAACGAGAGAGAGAGAGAGAGGAGGAGAGAGAGGAGAGGAGAGACACAACGAAGGTGAGAACGAGAGAGGGAGGAGAGAGGGAGGAGAGACACAACGAAGGTGAGAAAGAGAGAGAGAGAGAGAGAGAGGGAGGAGAAAGAGGAGAGGAGAGACACAACGAAGGTGAGAACGAGAGAGGAGAGAGAAAGAGGAGAGGAGAGACACAACGAAGGTGAGAACGAGAGAGAGAGGAGAGGGAGGAGAAGAGGAGAGGAGAGACACAACGAAGGTGAGAACGAGAGAGAGAGAAGAGGAGAGAGGAGGAGGAGAAAGAGGAGAGGAGAGACACAAGGAAGGTGAGAAAGAGAGAGAGAGAAGAGGAGAGAGGGAGGAGAAAGAGGAGAGGAGAGACACAACGAAGGTGAGAACGAGAGAGAGAGAGAGGAGGAGAGGGAGAGAGAGGAGAGGAGAGACACAACGAAGGTGAGAACGAGAGAGAGAGAGAGAGAGGGAGGAGAGACACAACGAAGGTGAGAACGAGAGAGAGAGAGGAGAGAAGAGGAGAGGAGAGAGGAGAGGAGAGACACAACGAAGGTGAGAACGAGAGAGAGAGAGAGAGGAGGGAGGAGAGACACAACGAAGGTGAGAACGAGAGAGAGAGGAGAGAGGGAGGAGAGAGAGGGAGGAGAAAGAGAGGAGAGATACAACGAAGGTGAGAACGAGAGAGAGAGAGAGAGAGGGAGGAGAGACACAAACGAAGGTGAGAACGAGAGAGAGAGGAGAGAGGGAGGAGAGAGAGGGAGGAGAAAGAGAGGAGAGATACAACGAAGGTGAGAACGAGAGAGAGAGAGAGAGGGAGGAGAGGGAGGAGAGAGAGGAGAGGAGAGACACAACGAAGGTGAGAAAGAGAGAGAGAGAGGAGAGAGGGAGGAGAAAGAGAGAGAGGAGAGACACAACGAAGGTGAGAACGAGAAAAAGAGAGGAGAGGAGTGAGGGAGAGGAGAGACACAATGAAGGTGCGAACGAGAGAGAGAGGAGAGGAGAGAGGGGGAGGAGAGAGAGGAGAGACAAAACGAAGGTGAGAACGAGAGAGAGAGAGGAGAGAGGGAGGAAAAAGAGGATGGAGAGACACAACAAAGGTGAGAACGAGAGAGAAAGGAGAGGAGAGAGACGTGAAGGTAAGAACAGAGAGAGGAGAGAGAGAGAGGGAGGAGAGACATAATGAAGGTAAGACCAAAAAAGAGGGAGGAGAGAGAGGGGGGAGGAGAAACACAATGAAAGTAAGAAGAAGAGAGAGGGAGGAGGAAAGGTAAAAACAGGTTAAAATCACCACACACTGAGCTTTTTGAAAGCTGCAGGTCCCATCAGCCGAACAACAGCGTTTTCTTTTTTTTGTTTTTTTTTTGTTTACATTGTGTTCTTTGGGGAAACAGAATTTCCAAAGAGGCATTCAGACAGTGGAGTCGTCAGGGTCGGCAGGTCCTGGTCCTGTCCAGTTGTTGGTGTTCATGTGGTGATTGTTCTGACTCGGTTGTGAACTTGTTTAGTCGTATGAATCAGCTGATGCTCTGTGATGGGAGTTTTACGAGTTTTATAAGTTTAGACAGTCAGTGTAGTGAACAAAGGCTCTAAATATTGTAGAAAATCTGCAGTGTGTGTGTTTTATCTGCATTAAACTGTGTTGGCTCGGCTCTGCTTCAGTGCCTCCTCCAGCCCGGGTCAGTGGACTGTGGCTGGATATGGTCACTTTGACTTTGGCGTCTATATACAGTTGTATCTGTAAATATGAGCAGCTGGCCCAGATTTCCAAGGCCACAGTCTGCAGCTGCATTTACATGATAAAGCTCCCTCTGCTGTCAGGAACGGAAATAAACTATTCTTTAGGCTCCATCAATGCTGTGCTAATAGTCGAGTTTCATCTGACATCATTGTTATTAAAAGCCCGCGTTGCTGCTGGGAAATATTTTGGTCGGAGGCAAGAAACAGGAAAGCGTCAAACACAGTATTTATCCCCGATAATGGTAAATTCCTGCTGCATTATCGGATGCACAAATAGAAGCACGGAAGAAGGAAAATGGATTTTTTTCGTATTCTGAGTGAAAAGAACCACTAACAGGTGAATTAAACGACTTTCAAACATTCGCAGAGCAAACGTAGAAGATCCTAACAAACCCTTGGACTCCAACAAGTTCAACAACACATCGAGACTCTTGGAGGTTTTCATCTTTTCTGCTGTGAATATTTGTCCAGGTAGTTGGTGATTCTGACCAGAAATTTGGTTTGGTCCACCTTTTGTCGGGGTTGAAAAGGGTGATTTGTCGTCCGTCGATGCTTATGACCAATTTCTGGTCAAATGGTCTTGGGTCCTCTGTCGTTAGAGTGGATAAATAACCGGGATCAATACCCTTTACGTGTTTTCTCGCTCCGTCCGTCATGTTGAATTAGTGTTTCTTGCCGCCGACCAAAATAATTCCCAGCATGCAACGCGCGCTTTTGTCAACAATGAAACTCGTCTATACAGCCACGTGTTTATTATGAACAGTATTTGAACGAAGAACGAGTCCGGCGATGATTTATGGACTTAACACAGGGTTCCCACGGTCATGGAAATCCTAGAAAAGTCATGGAAATTGAAAACATCATTTTCCAGGCCTTGGAATTTTGTAAATTCAATGAAAATTTTGGAAAAGTCATGGAATTTTAGTATCTCTTTCAGGCAACTACATCGTTCTGTTAAGTTTTCATGAGGCTATTATGAATATTTCTGAACGTCTGTGCCTTTTTAAATGCACTGACAGTATTTTGAATGTTAAAAACTATAATCCCAAACCATAAAGTGAGTGGAAAGAGTTAACATTTCGCATTTAGCTCTAAAAATCTGATCAATTCTACACATGTAGGTGCTGTAAAGTCATGGAAAATTCACTTTAGGTGTTGAAAAAGTCATAGAAGTAGAAAAAGAGTGGGAACTCTGTTAACAACTGTGCAGAGGGAGTTTGGAGTTTTACCTGTGACGCAACAATCCAGGCAAAATGCGAATGGAGAATTTTTTTAGTGTAAAATTTATCGCAATTATTTACAAATATAGATATATTCTAGATAAAAACGGTCTTTTTATTACATACAACTTGCTGGTAATGACCTAAATAACCTACGGTACTGAGATTTGGAGCAAAAAAAGGCAATAAGAGCAATCACATTATCAACTTATAATGAATCAACCAATGTGTTATTTATAAACCTTCAAACTCTGAAATGTTATGATTTAGTCGACCTTTATACTCTGAAAATCATGTTCCAAGTAAACAACAATCTCCTGTCAAAATCGTTACAGAACATGTTCAAAATCCGAAAGAGCCGATACGAGCTCAGAGGCACGACCATGTTTATCAAAAAGAAAATCAGAACAAACATTAGGAAATTTTGTGAATCTGTTAAAGGGCTGGAGCTCTGGAACAACTGTACAGAAAACCTAAAATTGTGCACCAGTCTTTCACTTCATAAAGAAGTTTAAATGTTTAACTCTGGACAGAAACATGAAATATGAGACTTAGTTTGTGCTGTAGGACTTTGTTGTTCTGTTTTTGATTTGTTCATTTCCTCTTGCTGGATTTATGAAGATGAACTGGTGTCAAGATGAAGGTCTGATAAAGGAATAAACGGTAAAGGGCAGAATAAGCTTAAACTTCAGCCGACACCTTTTCGGTCTGTGTCTGTTAAATATGACTGTGAATTAATGTCAAAATATACCTGTGACCGAAATAATCAAAAAACAAACAAAAAAAATGTTGCATAATTTGTGTCCTTTAATCGTCTTATTTGTCAAAAATGAGTTCATATTACCAAAGATAAAGTAATGGTTTTAAAAGTCCATTAAAAGTGGAGTAAAAAGTAGCTGGAGCACATTTTTACATCACCATCTCCGCCCCCTCTGCTCCTCTCCTCTGTATTTCATATTTCTCATTTTCTAACAGCAGATTTAACCTCGTCTCTGTCCTCAAACCTCGCTCAAACTCTGCCATGAAATCCTTCCAGCGCCATAACCCAGAGAACATTTTTACGGGCAGGAATAAAAGCGCGGACGTGAACACCTGAGCGGGAGACGGACGAGCCCTGCCTGTTTAATCCTCATCACATCTGTCTCTGTTTTTATGATCTCGGTCGGTCTGGGGTCACCGGAGCCGAGCTGGAATGTGACTCCTGTTTTTAACCTTTGAACCTGATCCTAAACCAGAACGAGCGGAATATGACGTGAAATCAGCCAAGTGTCAGATTGTTGGAGTCGTGACAGGTCAGACGTCGTATTTTTAGTCTTTGCCAAGTTTGACAATTTTGTTAAAGGTCTAATATTACTTGGGTGAGTCCCAGTTTTGATCCCTGTGTCCCCTGTCCCAGAAAATGTATTCAAAACCAGTGATTTGTTCCAGTTTCATACAAGAAATGTCCCAGGTGTCCCTATTTTTGACCAATCTGATCCCTGCAGTGTGCAAAAATACTGAAATATCAACATGTTGTATTGTTTAATGCAGGGGTGTCAAACTCATTTTGGTCCGGGGGTCGTATC